CCTACTTTTACTGCTTTACGTCATTCGTTTTTTGCTCCTGCATACAAACATATATACAAACATATATACAAACATACATACAAACAAACATACATACACTCACAAACATACATACATACATACATACATACATACATACATACATACATACATACATACATACATACATACACACATGCATACAAACTCCCACATAAGACATCGCCCATCACAAACAATCAGCCACCAAGCAGTGCATTATTAAATACGCACAAGAAACTATATATCATGTGGCATATACATACACGTACATACACACGCACATACACACATACATACAAAAATATACACACATACATTCAAAAAACACAAACATACATGAATATATATATATATATAAGTAACAAAGCCAGCGAAAAATACCAAAGCAAAATATTGAAGCGCTATAAAAATGCATAATAATAATAATAAGAAGGAAATAATAAAATTTATAGCATCATAATAAGTTATTCCTAAATTCCAATGCATAGCAAGTTTCTAGCGCACTACCAACGCCCTACACAATTAACTCGATAAATTTTTTTTCTTATTACAAACAAACAAAAATACAAACAAAATACACACCAATACTACCACAAATACCATAAATACAAAAAAGAAACTTTAAATACAAACAGACATACAAAAAACCAGTACGAAATCATACAAGATACAAATTTCATGCATACATGGACAACCGTTGGTATATGCAAATGAGTTATGACGTAATCGCGTCACGTGTTTTATCGGCAGCCAATCAGCGTCCAGTCGACAAGTGTACGTACACGTGTGGTGTGGTGGGGCACAATGAAAATGACATCTGGCGAAAGCGGCAGAAATCATTTTCAAAGATTGATCTGTCGTTATTTAATTTTTTCCTGCTAAATTCCAGACTGATTCTCTGTGGCTACTACTACTACTACTAATGCTGCTGCTGCTACTACTACTACAACTGATACTACTACTACTACTATTACTACTACTACTACTACTAGAAGTACTATGCTACTATTACTACTACTACTTGCCACTACTAAAACATTTGAGATATGACAATGCCAGCATTGTTTGTCGCTGTAAAAATAATATAAGTAGTAGTAGAAGTAACAGAAGTAGCGGCTGTAGCAGCAGTAAAAGTAGCAGTAGCAGCAATAGTAACAGCAGTAAAAGTAGCAGTAGTAGCAGCAGTAGTAGTAGCGTCATAAATAGTACTAGCGAGTAGTGAAGTAACAGTGTTGTGTTAGAAGGCGAAATGCTGCTCTGTCGTGTGGAGGTGCATTCTATTTTGTTTATTGTACATCTGTCCAAGTACTCTATCGCGTGAAACAACAACAACTAATTTTCTCTCTTTCTCTCTCCCTCTCTCTCTCTCTCTCTCTTTCTCTCTCTCTTTCTCTAACTTTCTATTCTACTTTCTATGTGCATGTCCGCACAGATGTAGTGTCTTTGATGTGATGCCCGCCTTGGCTTTCTTTGTTATTATTTGTTCTTTGGACAGGCATGGCGATGATGGGGGTCCGTATTTTGTCTATGTTTTATTTTGTCTTTGTGCTGGTTAATTTATCTTTGTTGATGTTGACGTTATGGTAATAATAGGAAGAAGTTGACGACGACGATGATGATGATAATATCTGTGATGATGATGATGATAGTATAGGTGATGATAATGATGGTAATGAGAGTCATTCGATAAAAAACCTAATTATCTTCTCTTAATGTTGGATTCATTTTATTTTGTTTCCTCACTGATCTGATGTTTGCATGAAGACCGTGTTGACGACGCTATTCTACAACAAAAACCCCTCTTTGTTGTTGTTGTTGTTGATGTAGTTGTTGATGTGGCGGTTGTTGTCGGTGATGTTGTTGTTCTTACGGCTGATGTGAGCGATATTTTGATGGCAAAGTTTTATTCTAAAAGTTTGTTTGGTTGATGATGCTTTGTCTGGCGTTGTGATGTTTTGTAGAGTTTGATGTCTTTGTTGTTGTTGATGACGTCATTGATGTTGTTGTTGTTTTCTTTCCCAGTCATCCATTTCATCCATCTATCTATCTTTCTCATGGCGTTTCGCGGCTATTAATCATTTGACGTTACGCTGCGTCCTCTTGTGTACGTGTCAGTATGCCTGCTTGTTTACCTTTTGTATCTTTGTTTACATTTCAAAACGTACGTGAGATCACGTGCGCAAGTTTTGTTTACGTTTTGGGATGGCGTGATATCACGTGCCTATCTGATATTCTTCATACTCGGATGCATGCGCGTGCATGTTTGTTTACACTTTTGAAGAAAATGCGGGGTCACGTGCTCGTGTTTGTTTACGTTTGCTTCGGTGTGTGTGTGTGTGTGTGTGTGTGTGTGTGTGTGTGTGGTCACGTGTACGTGTTTGTTTGTTTATTTTTTTCATGCATTGTTGAGGTTTGTTTATTTTGAGTTGTTGATGTTTATGCGAAAATTATAAACTACCTGGTTATAATTACTCTTTCAACGCTGGTCTTCCTGGCAGTGCTAATAATATTTTACAAGGTATTAGTGTTGGTGTGTTGTTGCTACTTGGTTTGGTGTTTGTGTGTGTTTGTGTGTGTGTGTGTTTGTGTGTGTTTGTGTGCGTTTGTTTTTAGTATGTATTTATTTGCATGTGCTGGAATCGAACCATAGTCAGAAAGAAAGTTTAATCTTTCTGTTTGATGAATATGATGATGAAGATGATGACGTTGATGTTGTTGTTGATGACGATGATATTGATGTTAATACTAATGACGATGGTTGACATGATGCTTTTACAGTTCTGTTTTACCGTTCTGTATGTTGAAAATATATATTATTTATTCATTCATTCATTCAAATGTTCACTCATTCATTCATTCATCCATTTATATATTCATTTGTTCATGCATGCATTCATTCATTCAAAGCATTCCATATTTTCAACAATCATACTTTCCAGTAGACCAGCCAATAGAATGACGTCAATCATTGTGACGTCACCTAATTAATGGATTGTGATTGGCTGGTCGTTTGGCAAGGTTGTCTGCCTGTTTGTATGTGTGTATATTTCTAGCGCTGCTTTTTTATGAATAAAATTTGAAACAATTCATTTAAAAATGATTAAATATTCATACATATACGCATATGCATGTTTGTATGTACGTACGTATGTATGCATGTTGTTTGTTTGTTTGTATGTTTAATTGTTTGTATGTATGTTTGTATGTATGTTTGTATGTATGTTTGTTTGTTTGAAGCGTTGCGTGAAAAATCCATAATGACAAAACATGGCATGAAAGTGATGCAAAGTTCTGTTGAAAAAAACATGATGGTTTTGTTTTGTTTGTTTTGTTTTGTTTGTTTGTCAATTTTGTTTTTATTGTTTTGTTGCTATTTGTTGCAAACACACACGCATGAGCACGCATACACGCAGACAAACAAACAACCAAACAACAAATATACAAACATACAAAACACACAAACAAACAACAAATATACAAACATACAAAACAGACAGACAAGCAAACAAACAAACAAACAAACAGACAAACACAGAAAACAAAAATTTACAAGCGAGTGTAGGTGCGTACGTTGGTTGCATAACTTAGGGAGAGCGTGCCCCAACATACGATTAAAGTTGTGGGATTGACAAACAATAATTCTTTAATATCCTATGAACATACGGATATGAATATGAACACACACACGCACGAACACACACACACACGAACACACACACGCACGTGCACACACACACACACGAACATACACACACACACACACACACACACACACACGTACAGGCAACATAAACGCAGACAGATCCAAGCATATGTGCACGTATGCTATTCTAACAAGATGAAAACAACATACAAAGAGAGGGAATAGAAGCACAGCAGAAAGAAAGAAAGAAAAAGAGAGAGAGAGAAAGAGAGAGAGAGAGAGAGAGAGAGAGAGAGAGAGAGAGAGAGAGGAAGAGAGAAAATAAAAACAAGCAAGTCACGTGATTTGGATATTACTGCATTGGATTTGTTGGTAGCTCGTGTGTTTGTGAGTATGTACGTGTGTATGTATGTATGTACGTGTGTGTGTGTGTGATGTGCGTGTGTGTGTGTTTGTGAGTATGTATGTGTAGTACAAGGTCCAATGGTGAGAGTGATGATGCTGGTTTTGATGTTGATGATAAGGACGACGTTCGTTGGTGGTGGCGAATATGATGACGATCACCAAACCGCAGCAGATACAACTCGCATCACAAATACCGGTTAACTGAAGTCAATAAAAGTAACATCTCCAATGACGTCACAACTAATGCCCATCACGTGATCGCTTTAAAATGGCCGGCTTCGTTCTGATTGGACGAGGAGTGCTAATGATGAAGATGATTATCATGAAGATGTATCCGTACATCATATGTATGCGTGCCTATTTGTTTTTAGATACGCTTGAATGTATATTTGTATGTTTGTATGTATGTACGTATGTATGTATGTACGTATGTATGTTTGTTTGTTTGAATGATTGTTCCAACAACACAAAATTGATCATTTAATCAAATTTGATCAAATTTTATTTTTATTTACTAAAAACTTCATAAAGTTTTGATAAAAATTTATTATTAATGTAAATTAAGTAATCAATCAATCAATTGATTATCAAATCAATCAATTGATTAACAAATGAATCAATCAATTGATTAACAAATCAATCGATCAATTGATTATTAAATCAATCAAATGATTAACAAATCAATCAACCAATTGATTAACTAATCAATCAATCAACCAATTGATTAACTAATCAATCAATCAATCAATCACTCAATTGATTAACTCACGCTATCAACAAATTGAACTCTACGAAAATTAAAAATTTTAAAATGGTTGTGTTAGTAAGTTGGAAGAATATTTTTGAGAAATCTAGCGAAGGAAAAGATATTTATAAGATATGATAACATTGTCAGATCATTAATGCAAATGATGTTGTTGTTGTTGTTGTTGTTGTTGGTGTTGTTGTTGGTGGTGGTGGTGGTGTTAACGACGACGACGATGATGATGGTAGTGATGTTCATAATGATGATGATGATGGTGGTGTTGATGATGATGATGTTTTTGTGGTGTAATTCACTTTTAAACATTCATTCGTCTAGAGAAGTCTCAGATGACCGCCAAGTAGCTGGCCACTCTGACGCTGAAATGAACTGAAGTTTCATTCAAACAGATTCGGTAAAACAAAACTGAAAATTAAAACAAATATAATACGGATGAAAAAAGATAAACATCCGGTAAAAAAATAAGTTGAAGAAGTAACCAAAGATAATAAAAATAACAAAGAAAAATAAATTTTTCTACTATAAATTGTGTGCAAAGATGGTTAAGAGTTGAGAGGATGAAACGGATTTCACATACTCCACCAACGAAACTAATTCTCATATAAAAATTTATATGATAAGTAAGTATAAACTATGTATCTATAAATATATATTCATTCATATACATATATATATATATTTATATAAATATTATATAAATATTATATATATATATTATATATATATATATATATATATTGAATTATAATTGCATATATATATATAATAATTGCATATATATATATATAATAATTTAGGAGTTATATACAATTATCTGTCGAGTGGTTGAACCCATGATGATGCTACGAAACGATACTTACTAACAAATTAAGTTGAAGTTTAGCGAACGCTTCAATTGATTTGTGATAATTTGAAGGTAAAATTGAAATGGATTGAATGAATTCTTGAAATAAATTTAACGTAACCTTATTAAAAATGTTTCTAATCAATCAAAATTCTTCAAAATAACCCAGATATATTTATTTAACAAATCGAAAATGAGAACTAAAGAGAGAAAGAGAGAGAATAAGGAAGAGAGAGAGAGATAAAATAAGAAAATGAAATAAAATAACACAGATAATTAATCAATCAAACATAAAATAAAATAAAATAAAAGGGTGAATATTTCATAAGATAACTCCTCCTAGAACTCCTCAAACTCTTTACTGAACTTGTCGACATTCCCGACCTGCAGTGGCTCCTCCTCGTACTGATCGAAGTTGCTGTGGTCGCCTGGGCCCTTCGACTTCGGAACGAAAGGGGCCTCCATCTGGTGTTGGTTTAGTCAATAGTTTCAAATGCTACTCACTCTCACTTGGAACAACACGTGAAAAAAACAACAACAACAAATGATGAACAGGGAATGTACCTTCCTCTGAAAAACGCTGACCCAATCGAGGGTGGCAAGCCACTTGTGCCCCCTGATGTCCTGCACCCCGTTCTTCAAATTCCCAAATCTCTTCGTTAGGTCAACTTGCAACAAGCTGCGAAGTAAATCTTTAATTTCTGCACTCATGTGAGATGGAAAGCGAACCTGGGTAAGTGTGCGTGTGTGTGCGCGTGTGTGTGATGACAATGAGGATGTGATGTTAATGTGGGGGTGGCCTACGTGATGTGTGTGTGTGTACGTGTGTGTGTGTGTGTGAAATATGAAAAGAGAAACAAAGAATAAAAAACACAGTTCAGTAGAGGAGAGGACAAAATGTTAAGACTGAAAACAGTGATGGACCGAGCGACCGACCTTGCCGGAGACGATTTTTTCGTATATCTGAATCGGTTGGTCGGCGAAAAACGGCGGGTATCCGGCGGCCATCTCGTAAATGAGGACGCCGAGGGCCCACCAGTCCACTGCCTTGTTGTAGCCCTTCGCAGAAGGTTGGTGGTCAGTTTTATATAGCATTGAAGTTACTGAAATTGTACTAATTAAATGAAACAACCACATCTTTTATAACAGTTATAATAATACTGAATGGATGATGAAGTATTAAAGATATTTTACTTTGCTGAGAATAATTTCTGGAGCCAGGTACTCTGGAGTGCCGCAGAGGGTCCACGTTCGTCCCTTTACCCGCTTCGCGAATCCAAAATCAGTCACCTGAAAAATAAAAAAAACCAATCCTGAATTTTTATAAATTCTTAATTGTCAACTTTAAAAAACTTTCCCCATCTATCATTTCACCTCCTACCCCCTAATTTCCACTCCACCCCATCTTAAGTGACCTTGATGTACCCCTGGGGATCAATGAGTATGTTCTCGGGTTTCAGATCTCTGTAGATGAGTTCCAAGTGGTGGAGGTACTCGAACGCCATGACGATTTGCGAAGCGTAGAACTTGCAGTGCGGCTCGCTAGGTGGCAGGCGAGATGTGTAATTTTCACAATTGCGCATATTTATAACTCTATAATATTGTATTAAATAAATAAAAATAGAAAATTATGAATGTTAATTTTGAAAGAAGAAATGCTCCCACCTGAACCTTCCGACCCTCCTCAGATGCGAGAACATCTCCCCCCCACCGATGAACTCCAGCACCATGTACAGATTCGTGTTGTCCTGCCAAATTTTGTTCCTCACTAGTTCCTCTCAAGTTTTTCTCTCAGATATCAACAACAAACAACTCACACACACACACACACACACACACACACACACACACACACACACACACACACACAGCCAGCGCACGTAAATCCGCGCAGACCTTGTTGCGTTCGATCCTGGTCAGTCAGTGCATGCAACTTTAGGACCAAATGAGTTCTTTCATATTGATTTGCTTTATTTTGATGAATATTAACTGATTGGATGAATGAGTGAATGAATGAGTGAATGAATGAGTGAGTGAATGAATGAGTGAGTGAATGAATGAATGAAGAATGACTAACTTTGAAGCTGTCTTCGAGGGCAACTAGGAAGGGGTGGTTGATGGAGGCGAGGATCCTTTTCTCGTTCAGCGTGTGCTCCACTTGCTTCAACTTCACCACCTTGCCAGTTTCAATATTGTATTCAATTTTAAAACTTTGAAAACACCCTCCAATTTCCATCCATCCATCCATCTTACAATCATTTTAATAAAATCAATCAGTCAACATAAAGAGAAAGAGATAGAGAAAGAGAGAGAGAGAGAGAGAGAGAGAGAGAGAGAGAGAAAGAGAGAGAGGGAGATAGAAAGATTTAATAATGAAATTTGCAGACAAGAGGTTGAGTCATCAAAACTGGGAATTCAGTTTTTATGAAGAGAAGATCAGATAAGAACAAATAAACAACTTTTATTGTGACAGAAAGAGATAAAGATAGACAGAGAGGAGAGAGAGAGAGAAAGAGAAAAAAAAACGAACAAATATGATGAAACTTGAGATTGTTTCAACTCTTAAGAGAAAGAGATCCGTGAAGAAGACGAAAAAAGAAAGAGAGAGAGAAGGAGAGAAAACAAAGAAAAAAAATGAAATTTGAGATGGTGTTAACTTTTTGTTTGTCCAGGATCTTCATAGCTGAGAAATGTTTGCTCGACTTGTGCTGCACCAGCATGACGCGGCCGAACGATCCTGTGCCCAGGGTTCGAATGCGATCGTAATCCTCCAGGTTTGACGTGTTCTGATGATGATGATGGTGATAACGATGATGATGATGGTTGTGGTAGAGATGATTATGATGGTGAGGGTGATGATGACGATAATGACGACTGTTAAGTTACTTTAGGTAGTTCGTCCCATTTTCTGTTGAAATCTTCTTTTGCCTGGTTCAAATACTGCTTGACTGGAATGATGAAAACGAAAAAAGTTTTTAGTTATGGTTATAATTATTTATTTTATAATTTATTCATTCTTTAGTTCGTTCAATCATTCAATCAATCATCCATTCGTAAGTTCATTCGTTCGATCATTCGTTCATTCATTTATTCATTCAATCACTCATTCGTCCATTCTTTTCATCCATCCAATTAATTCAATTTGTTTCGGCTGTTACTTGATCCGTTATAATTATTCAATTATCCGCAATTTCATGTATATATGTTGTATGTTTGTTTGTATGTTTGTTTGTTTGTTTGTATGTTTGTATGTGCGTTTGTTTGTTTGTATGTAAGATTGTATGTTTGTTGTATGTATGTTGTAATAATGTTGTATATATATGTTTGTTTGTTGTGTGTATGTTTATATAGGTTTGTTGCAATTAATTAACTCAAATATTTGACAATGGTGTTAATCCATTCAAAAACATATATAAATGTATGTGTGTGTGTATGTATGTATGTGTGTGTGTGCGTGTATACGCATGTGTGTGTGCGTGAGCGTGTGCATGTGTGTGTGTGTGTGGTGACATGTTCTAGGGCCAAATTAAATTAACATACAACACCATAACAAATAATTGAACGCCTAATTTGATTTAATTAAGCGGACCAATCACAATCCTTCAAATGTAGGTCACCATATTTCCATGAAAGGAAAACTGGGTCATTCATTCCACCATTCTGATGAGTACTGAAGTGTATTACATTGGTACTTTGGTATTATCTGCCATACACACACATACATACATACATACATACACACACATACATACACACACACACACACACACACACACATACATACATACATACATACATAACGACAAATCAAAGTGTTAATCCACAACACATACACACATAATATCGTAATAACACACACATACATACATACATACATACACACACACACACACACACACACACACATACATACACATTCATACATGTTTTCACACACAATATTAACGAAATGATAAAAAATAACCAACAGATCAGTAAACACGTTGTTCATAATAACATTAATTCTTTGAAAGCCCTCGATAATGTGAATGCGTGTGCATTGATTGCTACGTTAGCCTAAGAAGTTTTGTGTGTGTGTGTGTTTGTTTGTGTTTGTTTGTGTGCGTGCGTGTGGTTATGTAACGGGGGGTAGGTGATTTTGGGGGGGGGGTATACGTTCAAACGATTAAATGGTTCCTTTTATTATCTAATAATTCTTCACCTTTCATTTCTTTCAT